AAACTGTAATTAAAAAACCACCCCAATGTTCATCAACTAATATAAGAATGAAATATATATATATAATACACACACACACACACACACACACACACACAAATAGACCTGTATTCAGGCACAGAAAGGAGTACAGTACTGAAATATATGCTACAACATGGTTGAAGTTTGCAAACATTATGCTAATTGAAACAAGGCAGACTCAGGCCAGCAGGTGGCGCAGTGGTTAAGGGCACTGGACTCCCACATGGCTGACCATGGTTCGAGTTCCAAACCTGGAGGCTTGTTTTCTCACTTTCTCGCTCTTTCTCTCTCTGGCCAAATTAAAATAAACAACTAAATAAATATAGTCAAATAAAATAATTCTTTTAAAAAAGAAACGCCAGACACAACAGACCTTATGTTGTATTATTCAATTTTATAGGACATGTCCAGAATAGGCAAATCTCTACACAGAAAGTAGCTTAGTGCTTGCCCAGGTCTGGGGGGAACAGGGGAGTGACTGATTGCTAATGAGTTTCTTTTGGGGGCGAACATGTTCTAAATTGTGGTGATGGCTGTACAACTCTGAATATATCAAAAACTACTCAGTTGTACACTTAAATAGGTAAGTTGTGTGGTGTCTACACTATCTCAGTAAAGCTGTGAAAATCTGTGACGAGCAGACAATTCTACTGGGCCATGGGTGTGTGTGAGTGTACAAACAGGTGTGTAACTGATTACAGTGTGAAACAGGACACAAGAGCTCAGTTTTTTTTGTTTCCTTTTTTTTTGTAATGCCTGTAATGGTTTGATCATGCTAAGCTGCAGCGTCTAGAATAGCGTCGCATAAATGGATGAGGGCCGTGGTGCAAAGGCAGACGCCGATGTGGGCAGGGGATGGACGCCAGGCTGGCCGCACTGTGCTTATTTCGAGTTGTTAATGACATTTCTTAAAATTATGTTATTTAACTTTATTTATATATTTTAATTTGACCAGAGAGGGGGAGGGAGGGAGAGAGGAAGGGAGGGGAAGAGGGAGAGGGGGGAAGAGGGAGAGGGAGAAAGAGAGAGAGAGAGATCGAACTGGCACCTCTAGAACTCAAACCATGGTTGGCCATGTGGGAGTCCAGAGCCCTTAACCACCGCGCCACCTGCCGGCCCCAAGTTGCTAATAACATTTTCATCTCAAAATATTTTATAAAAGAAACCCCTGGAGTAAAACAGTGGTGCCGTGATGAGACACAACATCCTGCAAGGCAGTCTCACACAGGGGAGTGCCCAGTTCAAGGCCAGAGATCTCCCTCCGTAGGCCGGACACATATTCCCACGACTCAAGGCTGGGGGAAGGCTGGGGAGAGACTGGGGTGTCCAGACCTGGTGGGGGTGCTGTCTTTTTCTCTCGCTCATGGTAGAAATGAGTAAATAAACTTCAAGAATAGCCCCAAACGACCCTTATCGAGAGGAAAGCATTAGGATGGACAGAAAAGAATGGTCATCGGTACCCCCCAAGATCTCGGTCAGTGAGTAACTGTGAAAGTGCCACTCAACGCTTTCAGGGAGTTTGGGGTTACGACAAACCAGACCCACTTTAGTAAACCGACCGGCACTTACTCCCTGTCCCCTCGGCCACGTTCCCTTTAACTGCTCTGCTAAATCCAAACCGTCTCCTGTTTGCTCTCCCAGCTCCTCAGCCCTCGTGTGCCAAAAGCAACAGAACAACCCTCTCTCAGCCCAGGGACGCCAGTGCGGCCCTCTGAGGCCACGACTGCAGCAGACTCAGCCCGCTTCCCGTCCTCCCACCACCAGATAAACGCACAGCTCTCGGCCATGAGTCTCCATCGACCACTGGGTCACAGCATTTGCGATCCACTCCCACTCCGACCTCACGAATGTCCTGACTCACTCTGGCATTCTAAAATATTCAAGAACCTGGTGACTGTGGTTAAAAATTATTACTCTCAGGACCGGCAGATGGCGTAATGGTTACACTGCTGGATTCCCACATGGTCAAGTCCTGGACCCAGTGGCTTTTAAAATTCCTGGGACATCGTGGCCCCACATGGTCAAGTCCTGGACCCAGTGGCTTGAAATATCCTGGGGACATGTGCGCCCAAGATCCCAAGAGGAAAATGAATTAGGGAGTGGCCATGCCCCCTGGAGGGGTGACTTTTCACTTTCTGTCGGTCTCTCCAGCAAGTACAGCAAAAATCTATTTAAAAATAAATAAATAAAACTATTAACTCTCTAACCCTGATTTTTCTCTCATTTTTAGCCTATATTACTAAAGATTTGTGCTTTAAAAAAATATTATCTACTGGACTTGTAGGAATGATCTGACTTATAATAAGAACTTAGACTGAGTGTTTTTCCCCCAGTCAACTAGAGACATAATGTTGTTGACCTTAAAACCCTTTGGAACCAGGTAAGAAGAGTTCCCCTTCCTAATACTTGATTGTGTAATTTGAAAATGTTTCCCAGAACCAGTAGATGGCATAAGGGTTATGTTGCTGGACTCCCACACAGCCGACCATGGTTCAAGTCCTGGACCCGGTGGCTTGAAATTCATGTCGGGCAACTGTTCGTGCGGCTCCCAAGAGGAGACTGGAGGAGAAGGGATTGCACTGTGTCCATCCTCCCTGTCGCTCTGGTGAGCACTAGTGCCCTATAGCAAAAAAATCTCTCTCCAAAAAAAAATGTTTCCCAGGAATCCTAGGAAAGCAAAAGGTCTTCAGGTATACACGCTCCCCTTATAAAAACCTTCAGGGCAGGCCCTATACCACAGAGGCTAAGTGCTATGCAGAGGAGGCCACCCTATACCACAGAGGCTAAGTGCTATGCAGAAGAGGCCAGATCCTATATGGCTGACCATAGTTCAAGTTCGAACCTGGCGAGATCCTACATGGCTGACCAGGGTTCAAGTCCGAACCTGGCATCTTGAAAAACACACGGGTGTATGCTTGCATGCCCAAGAGTCTGATGAAATAGAGAACTGGATGAAAAATAATTGCAGTGAGGATTGCAGTGGAACCAGGCCCTGTTGGGAGGGTCTCCCACTCTCTCGCTTCTCCCCCTCACCCCAGTACACACAGGAACCTCCTGGCGTTAAAGGCTAACAGCATTTCTTCTTGGAGCCAGGCATGGTGGTTATGGTGCTGGACTCTTAAGGGGCCGGCTGCAAATTGAATCCCAGACCTGGCGGCTTAAAACTCATGCTGGGCATGTGTTCACGCATGCCCAAGCTCCTGAGAAAACAATGGAAGAGAAGGGATTGCTGCATGGCCAACCCTTCTGGGGGTTATTTCTTGCTTTCTCTCTGTCTCTCTCTGCCTCTCTGGTAAGTGCACATACCCTTTAGCAAAAATCTCTCTGAAAAAAAAAATATTCTTCTGTATTTGATGCCTCAGATTAGATAATCCATCATTCCAGAACACTATCAATCACTTTTAAATGAGCTAATGCAAAAGATTAAATAACTAGCAGCCGGTGCTGCTGATAGCTGGCATTTGAAATGGATATGATTCATTCAGAAGGCAACAACTATGCCCTATCAGGGTTCAAATGATGATAAAGATGAGGAAATAACTCAACAGAAGCAAAAGGACGAGCTGCCTACAGCATCAGGATCCTAGGAGGAACACCGGGGAACACACGCAGCTCTTACAGAAACTGGAGGACCCGGGAAACTAAGGTACAGAAATCTCGGAGAACACTATGCCCAATAAAAATAACAGTAATAAACATGAAGCAGAAACGTGACTAACATTCATGATGCAATATGACATGAAACACCAGAACATAAAACAATGTGTGCATATGTACATATATGAGTTAACCCCATATCACCTTATAAAAGCACATTTTTAAAAAACGTCTCTTTTTTAATTAACCTTTTAATTAATTATTTATTCATTCATTCATTTATTTTAACATGATTAGAGAGAGATGAGAGAGAGAGAGAGAAAGTGAGAAAGCAAGCCTCCAGGTCCAGGACTCGAACCACGGTCGGCCATGTGGGAGTGTCCAGCACCTTAACCACGACACCACCTGCTGGTCCCAAAGCACATTTTTTTCTAAGAGGTTTTTGCCTTAGGATGCGTGCTCTCGCCAGAGAGAGAGAAAAGCAGACACTGAGAGGGAAAGTGAGAAATCATCCCGCTAGGACAAATGGCCATGTCACAGTCCCTTCTCCTCCACCCCCCACCCCCGCCACCAAGATCTTGGGCACGCACGCACACATGCTCGGCGTGAGTTTCAAGTCACCAGGTCCAGGACTTGAACCATAGTTGGCCATGTGGGAGCCCAGTGATGGAACTGCTATGCACCCTGCTGGCCCCAAAACACATATTTTTTTTCTTTAAAGAATTATTTATTTAATTCCATTTATTATTATTATTAGTTTTTTAAAATTTGACCAAAGAGAGGCAGAGCGAGAGAGAGACAAAGTGAGAAAACAATCTGCCAGATCCAGGACTCGAACCATGATCAGCCACGTAGGAATCCAGTGCCCCAAACGCCAAAGCACCTGCCAGCCCCCAAAACACAGCAATGTAAAAATATATTTTCAAATGACGCATCGTTAAACCTCCAAGTCTTAAAGCTTCTCCATCCTCTCTATTCCTTCAGTTCATCTTTTTGCTGATCTCTATTTTCCAGTAGAGTCTTTAACCCCTTCACTCACTGTCTTAACAAAGATATCACAAACTTTCAGGTTGTGTGTTTCCAGCTTTGGAAACATCTCTCTCTCCAATGTACAGCCACCCACTACCTCCCACGTCCCACTTAGCTGTCACCGTGAAGACTGCACGGCGGTGAAAGGATACCGAAGCACTGGGTCGCTGGGAAAGTCGTGACACATTCTTGCATAGCAAAACAGAAAAGAACACCTCCCGACTTTTCCGACAGCCCAACACATGGAGACCGAGGAATTGCACTGTACCTCAAAGTTATTTTCTAAATATTTCTGCCCAGCTATCTACCTGTGCAGAGGAAATATTTAAAATAACCCACTCCATGTTTCTTACCTGTTCATGGAATCTGATTCTGAGGAAGAAAGAGCTTCTTGAATGTCGGTAGAACTAGAAGAATCGTCTCTCTGGTCGGGCTCCAGCTGCTCTGGGGAGTCCAGCTTTGACTGAAGGGAGTGGTTTGTTACTAAGTTTGTATTTGAAAACTTCATTTTGTTGTCTTCATGTCCTAAAAAGGAATAAAAAATTTTTTAGTGAAAAGGAAAAATGAAAGAGCTCCTTAAAATCTACATGTCTGTAATAGTGCTATTTGTACCTCGCACAACAGAAGCACACCTAACACTGATTCCAAGACTCTAGTGACAACCGGAGAACAAGAACCAACCCTGCAATGGTGCTATCTAGTGATCCTGCCCACCCCAGGTTTTTCCTAAGATTCATTCATTTAAAAACAAGATTTCCAAGACCAGCAGATGGCATAATGGCTATGTCGCTGTTCTGTGGAGAGCAGCCAATCTGAAAGCCTGTGATTAAAACATGCGGCCTGGCCTGTAGACACATGCGAAAACTTGCTCGCTTCCTTTAGCTGCTCTAGCAGGGCTATGAGAAGCATCTACACACGAAAGCAGTATCTGCCTGTTGTCAATGGTTGTCTTCCTGCTGTTGTTGATAGCCGATACCCCGATACTGTATCGGGCTACAGGATGTCACATGTGTTTATCAGATTGTCCCCCCAAAGATCAGAGAAATTATATGGTGCCGGTCATTTTCATATCCTCAGATGACTGACATCCAAAAATGACTGTCTTTGCATTCCGATTTCTCCTCCGTTATTCTCCTCGCGTTTCACGTCCTTCTTCCCCAATCCTTTTGCATCCCATTTTCCCTCTTCCCCCCTTTTCTGCCCTTTGAAAGAATAAACCTTAAGCTGGTTCTGGTCGCAACTTCTCCACCAGAGAAGCGGTGCCCACCCGATCCTCGCTTTATACTTTGTGTGTCTCTGTGCGTCGGATATTGCATCTATTTCTAACCCACAGCCTTCCCCACTCAGGGAAACGTGTTCCTGCCTAGCTGGTCCTGGCATTTTCCCACGTAGTCGACCACGGTTCAAGTCCCAGACCCGGTAGCTTAAACTCACGCTGGGTGCATGTGCGTGCGTGCCCAAGATCCCAAGAGGAGAATGGGGGAGAGATTGTGGTGTGGCCATCCCCCC